GTGACGGGGATTCGAACCCACGACCCTCAGATTGCGAGTCGAGCGCCTTATCCACCTGGCCATGCCGGGCCCAAATTGGTTATGATGACTTTCTAGTAGGAAAGAAACGCTAGAGTGGTGAAGCATTAGATTCAAGGTACTAAGCAGTGGCTAAAGTGAAAACTTGGAACTAGTGAACCCAATGCCAACTTCACCAGATTCCTTCCTCTTAGAGAATTTTCAAAACTCAACATTTATATATATGTTGTATATAAGATAAAATAAAGATACCAAATGGGGATAAAAATAGCAAAAAAGAAAAAAAATCATAGATCTTTCCATGAGACATGCTCAGACTTGTCAGGAATCTTTCAAAAAATCCAACCAAAGAGCTGGTGACAATGTCTATTCTTCCTGGATATTCAAACATTTGCAGCTCTTTCGTCCTCTGTCCAAGACTTCATATATGGTCATGAATTCTACTACTCTAGAAGTGATCCAATGTTGGATATAAAAATGAGTGCACTCCTGTGTTCACCAGAGTGCACTCCTGCGTTCGCCACACCAATAGCTTCCCAGATTCACCACCCTATTTTCGTATAGTTAGCCGCAATTTCAATCTTGTAGTTTCTCCACAAACTTTCAGCTATCCTATAACATTTTTCAACTACCCTTAACTTTGTGGCAATTTTCTAGGTTTGGTAGGGGGGGGGGGCGTGGTCCCCAGACCATTTTTCACTTTAACCTTTAATCACCGGTATTGGGTGAGTACAAATAATTTTCTAATAAAATGATGCTTGTATAATCAAATGATCTGTACATATATATATAAATAAATTCACGAATAATTTGCACACATATCCATCCATGCTAATGACCCCTGTTTGCATGACTAATGTTTTACCCCATGTGGATAGTGACCTCAGTATGCTTGTCAATTGCCGCTATTGCCGCTTTGTCGTTCCATCACCAAGACTCAATACACTTAGTAACAGCGGTATGTATGTGGACTTACAACGCTAGAAACCTGGTTTCGATACCCGTGGTGGGCAGAGCACAGATAGTCCATTGTGTAGCCCACTTAGTAGCAACGTGAAGAATATATAGAAGAGGTGATAAAATGGAACCACGAGGATACAAAAGATTCTATGAAACGCTATTTATATAGGCAGTATAATGATTTAAAACTTATGGTTTAAACGCCGAAAGCTAGCGAAATATTGGAGAAGCCCACACTTGTTATGGAAATGAAATAAAATAAAGTTTCTTTTTTAACGAGACCAGAATTAATAGTTTAAAAAATATTCGCTAGATGGTATTACTATAGAATAAACGAACCTACGCAGTGTTATAAGTATATAAGCAAGCGTGTTATTTAAATACAAAATCGTATTCAATTTTATCTTTAGGAGATTAAAATATAGTAGACCGCCACTTTTAATGCTAGATGTAGGCTTTAAACAATTACGCACAGAAAATTTGAAATTAAACAACCAATCAGAGCTATTTGGGTGTATTCGTATATTTTTAACGAGCTAAAAGAGATCAAACTCTTACCTCCCACATATGATAGTCACATTTCTGTCTTATTCTGCTGATTTCAAAACGTTTACCATTGTGTCCCCCTTCCTTGCCCCACGCCTCTACACATGTTCCAATCTATTGGTTATGAGAAAGCCTAACCGGTTTGCTCGTGTTCACATAATACCACTAGTTGGAACGGCGCTCCTATTGCTTACCGTTTGGACGATATGACGGGTCGTTCGTCAGAAAGAAAATTACATATATTTGCTGCAAGCAAAGCAAACAATCTAAGGCTTAATGATAGGTCTGGTATCGCTGAGACCATTTTCACATCAAGCCCTCAAACAAGGGTTGAGATATATTGCTGGGCGTCAATATCCAGTTGAACAAGGCGGCGCTGTTGTTACGTCTAGTTATTACGTCACTAATACAGCTCGAAGTGCGAGACGACTTCCGGTTGGGCGCGAACTCGGCAGTGGAGGTGCTAGCGCACGTCACCCGGTGAGGCGGGACTTGCTAATCCCACCCATCCGGTGACAGCACTGGCAGCTAATGTGTTGGCTTTCATACGTTTCTTGAAGGCTACCAAATTATTTTTTTTTAGTGAAATTAAGTAAGGAAATTGTATAAATCCGTTCAGAAACTTTAAGCTATGATTTTGTGAGGTCTATCTAACACAGATGTTGATATTTCCTTTATAAATAGATGGTGATAAGGCGGCGATGAAACTGTTAACGAGTCCTCAAGGTGACGATTGGCAGCGAGCCTTGCATTTTATTATACCGTTTTCAGGGCGAACGTGCGATTTATTGAATGAAAGCTGCAAGGGGACACTGTGCCATTGTGCAACGTCACACCGCTGGCGCCAACAGAAGAGCCCCTCTCAACGGGTAGGATGCGACGTGAGACTAGGTAATCATTTCCAAAGTTCCCGTCATTTTCTAACGCTGTTTCTGACAGCTTCAGTAGCGAACTAAAGAGGTTAGACCCACAAGACAAGTAACAGTTATTTAGCTGAAACTACGTAACCAGGTGCTTGAACGTTGTTCTCTGTGAATATGTTAATTCATATGTAACTCTGATATCTCAACAGATGACAGAAAACTTGGCGTGCTGATTTAAAAAAACATGATGTTAGTCATAAATAATAGCAGTGTTACAATTTAGTGGTATCTTTCAAATAAACAAAAATAAATACTAGAGATTCCGGTGACAAGCTTGATCGAGACCTTCGTCCAATAAAGCACCAGAAAAATCCGGTATCACGCTTGATCGATTCATTCATTCTGAGTCGAGTTTAATAAATCCATCTTGAAGAACTAACTAAATGACTCTTTAAAAACCGTAAAGGATTTGTTTGTAAAACAGCATGTCTTGAAATGGTATAGCAACGACAAAATGTTGTTATTGAGCCACTGACTGTTTCGTCATCCGCACCTATAAGCGCAGTGGGGGTTCCTCTTAGCAACCTGTAAACGACACCCGAAGACACTAGTGTGATTGGTTCCGGCCAGACAAATAACCAATCATCACGGCACAACCAACACTGTACCGTACGAGTGTTGGACTACACAGCAAAGCTGCTCGCATTTCACACTGTTTTTAGACGATTCCCTCAGTCTGAGTCGCCCCGGTTTATTCGCTATTGTGTGCAATATCTCGCCAAGGGTGTCCGTGTTGTCAGCGAGGTTCAGGGCTGCATGCGTGTTCGTCTCTTGCTACCCCGACGCCTCACTCCTGGCCCACGCTGAGCACATCGTACTCCATGAGATTCGAACCCTCGAACCTGGGACCTGGACAAGGAATGGCTTACCATCCGTTCCTTCTGCCCCCTACCCGTCAACCTGACTTCAGCGTGAACTCTCTGTTAACTCAACCCCACTATTTCCCGCTACCCTTTCCTCAGGCTTATCCGCCGTCGCCTTTTCCCAAACTCCCCACACCACTGTCGGGTCCGCCGCATCTTACCGCCGAAGACGTCTTAACACACGGTGGACAACTACGGGCCATGCGAACTTTAGAAACTGACGATGATGGTGTACAAGACGATCCTAAAGTGACGTTAGAATTCAAAGACCTGTGGCAACAATTCCATTCACTGGGCACAGAGATGGTGATAACAAAGTCCGGCAGGTAAGAAAAAAAAATTATTAAACCATTGCTTTGTAGTCAGGCGCAACAGACCTTAAGTTGTATTCAACGTAATCAAATACGACAGACCTTACGTTGTGCTCAGATTCTGGCAGATGTTCTTGGAATAGAATATGCGTTTCATAGAAATATTCTCTGAATATCTTGTGTACATTCAAGTAACTAATATGAGATCAATATTCTCTATAAAAACCGAAATGGAAAAACTCCGTCCAAACAGAAATAAAGGTTATTTTTTTTATACAGCTTTCAAGTCATACTACATGGCAACAACATAAAAGTTAGCTCTCTTTATTACCCGATTTTCTCTGTAGCTTTTCAATTTAGTATTAAAAGAAGTATATTCATTCATTCTACTCGAATAATTTCCTCCTTTCATATATCTTTGCTTACTAATAAGATTACCATATACATACACTCCATTTCTGACCGAATCATAAACGAATGTTTCAAAAAATTTAATTTTCTCTCGGAAATTATAATTCATTTTTATAAGCATTAATTTACAATAAATGAAAACGTTTATTTGATATTATTTGTAGATTATACGGACATCAGTGTCTCGAATCCAATCAAATATTGTAATAAATTATAATTTTACATTGCTAGATATAGGAATAACAGTAAAGTATATATATGTATGTAATAACTAATTTACACGTATGTGTGAAATGCATAATCTTCTGTTCTAAGACTTTTCTTGGGTCTTGTCATAATATATTATACCGAGTAAGGAGTGTGTGAATGACATAGACATTCAGAAATTATCTATATATCTATTATTTGAAAACAAATTGCACTGTTTACAATTAGATCCATCTATGGTAATCCATCGGTCTATGATTTTTTTCTGGCAGTTTAGATTACATATACATGTACAAATTCAAACATATATATGTATGTATATGTGAAAACATTATTCCAATTGCTATGTAAGTATCAATATTTAAAGAAAGGACTGCGTTAAAAAACAGCAAGCCTAAACCTATGATGAAAAAACATTTTAATTATCAGAACAGGTCTTTAAAAAAAAACAACGTTGAATACATTTAACAAAAGATCACGAGGGCACATCTTATATCCCAAATTATAGCCTTTATCCTGATGATCTTTTTAATTTATGTAGCGTTTTTGTTCTTTGTTAAGGCCTGTTTTGAAAGTTAGAAGATATATATATATATATTCTTATACATACTAGACACAACGTACGTTAACTACATTTTATATTTAGTTTGTCTACTTTTTCGAATACCCGTTCCACGAATTCGAAGCAAGTTACTAAGATTTTCCTAATGCTGCATTTATTCTAAATAGAGCTAAATGGGTACATTCCTTATAAACCTTACGTTATTCTGGGATTGTTTGATATTTAGATATATGCAAATTTTGCTTGTGCGAACCCGTGATGCGCAACAAATATCGTTAAATGTTCACCCCACGCTGCTATAAGATGACAAAATGTTATGCTATTTACCTCTAATAACGTCCCAAACTTGTTTATCTTCGCGTAATGATTAATCAGCTACTTTTATTTCTTAAGTCTAACTGGGAGGTGAATATTTCAGCTTCAAAACAATGTTTTCGTACAGCAAAAACAGACTTCGTTAAATAGTATATGCTTATCGAGACGTATTGATTTTAAGCTAATATGATAATTATGACGTCACACACACATATACATATATAAATATAATAAATATATAAAGTAATGTGTGTGTATTTTCAAGAGTCAAAAACACTGTATTATGTCCTGTTATGTCTGGTACTGACTGATTAATAGAAAATATATCACTCTAACAGGACGGTTATATAATCATACGCATATAAATAATACTATGACGTTATAGAGGGGTTACCGACGATGATCATGATTTAACGACATTGTTGCGATTTTGACTAAACCGTAAGGTTTGTCGCACAGATATGTTGCGCAACATTTATATAAAAAATATATTATAATTCTGGTTTAAGTCATTAATACATTATACTAAATATAAAGGCTCTAGAACGCTAATGAAGGTAAGTTTATATACATAAATATCCTGTTAAACTCTGGAAGAAGAAAAATACCACTTAATCCTGTTTTTTGACAAACAACTATACTAATTTAAAAATACCACTTAATCCTATTTTTTGACAAACAATTATACTAATTTAAAAAGTCCACTTAATCCTGTTTTTTGACAAAGAACTATACTAATTTAAAAAGACCACTTAATCCTGTTTTTTGACAAACAACTATACTAATTTAAAAAGTTCACTTAATCCTGTTTTTTGACAAACAACTATACTAATTTAAAAAGTCCACTTAATCCTGTTTTTTGACAAACAACTATACTATTTTAAAAAGTCCACTTAATCCTGTTTTTGACAAACAAATATACTAATTTAAAAAGACCACTTAATCCTGTTTTTTGACAAACAATTATACTAATTTAATTATTCTAAAATGAAAGAGAAATATGCGTCGTAATTTAAAGAAAGAGTTTTTATTGAATTGCAAGCTAAAGGAAATTAATATTAATTAATTTAACATCATTCTATTAACTATATATATTCATATATAATGTTTGTACAGAAGTTCCTCTTAATCGAATCCTTAATAAGCAAATTAGTCGTCATTGAAACAAATAAAACGTGTGTATTTTCACTGAGACGTCTTGAAAAAAGTAAAGAGATCTTTATTTCTGTAAAACTTGAATATTAGATAAAGTTTTTATTTAGTGAAGTTCTATCTTGCTGAACGTTTGGGCGAAAAAATGTTTCAGCCTTGAGTGTATTATCTATGTGTAACATCTACTTGAGTGTATTATCTATGTGTAGCATCTATGGATAATCATTTTTCTTTTAAAATTTAGACATTTCGGTATTCTATATAAAAAAGACATTAACACTGTTGAAGTACGCTGTGTACTGTATAACAACCACTTGCGTTCTTACCGCGCTATCTATGCCTTTAACTTTTTTACATGCGTAAACATCTGTTTCTTGCCTTTATAGAAAATAATATATATTAACTTATTGCAACGACTGTCTCGAGAATTTCTAAAAAACCCAGAAAACCAATGTTATTAAATTTGTGAGTTGTATACCTTCAGTATATATGAAATGCCTTACCCCTAAGTATTAGACAATATACTGGTTAAATCACTTTTTCAAACATTGGAAAAAAGCAAAACGTTTTTTGTTTTTATTTATAATTTTTTCAGTTTATAATAAACAAGTGCACAGATAAATTACGTTATACTGTCAGAACTTAATTTTGAAATTAAAAACGACAAAGACCTCGTGCATGTGATCTTCATCACTTGAAAAATACTGGAAACAGATTTTATTCGTCATCATCTACGAAATGCTAAAAATAACACGCATATACATAGATTATATATCTCAAAGCTGTGGAAGAAACTGGAAAGTATTTGTGCAGAAGGAAAACAGTATAGCTAAGCTGATAAAATCCACTTCGGAGAATGAAGCCCATTCTATGCAGCCACTGATATTACATATATATATATATATACATAAGTATATTTGCACAACGTTTGGTTGACTTTAGGGGTTTAACATATCTATATATATACATAAGTACATTTGCACAACGTTTGGTTGGCTTTATGTGTTTAACATATCTATATGTAAATATATACATACATAAGTACATTTGCACAACGTTTGGTTGGCTTTATGTGTTTAACATATCTATATGTAAATATATACATACATAAGTACATTTGCACAACGTTTGGTTGGCTTTATGTGTTTAACATATCTATATGTAAATATATACATACGTACGTACATTTGCACAACGTTTGATTGATTTTGTGTGTTTAACACATCTATATATATATACATAAGTACATTTGCACAACGTTTCATTGACTTTAAGGGTTTCACATATCATCCCCGAAAAGAATCATTTTCGTATAATAATATCTCATACTAAACAAATTTATTACTAAAGTTTATGTGTTTAGGCGGGAGAGTAACATCACATCATTTGAAAAATCATTACTCGTACATACAGTATTAACCGACTTACGCCTACGTGCACATTTATGTACTAATGTCATTTAAACACACGGTAATTTGTGATATGTTAATCATATGTGAGCTTTGTTGTGACTAGTCCTTTAAAAACATCGACCTGCCAACCATGTAACTAGTGTTAGAGACGTATTAATTAACCTCTAATCAGACCTGTTGTTTGGAGAGCTTAATCAACTTGCTGTATATGCTGTTGTAAAGTCTGTGTGCATCCTTTTCCAAGAATATGCTCAAGGAAGTAAGTATCAAACCTGGATAGACAATTTATTTTAAACATTTCATTATATTTTGAAATAATACGGTTTTTGAAATTATATTCCACAGGAATATAAATTCCACCCAAGCAAAAGGCGGAATAGGTAGATTGTGGAACGTTAATTTCTCAGCTTTGATACTATGATAAGGTGCAGCTCTGAGGCCAATTAATTTTCGAAATATTTTGTTCATGGCATTATTCAAACATATCGAGAGAGGGAGACTGATGTCATCAAATGCACAGAGTCATTTGTGGAACTAATTTTACGTTTATAAATGTACAAAGTTTTAGTTGAATTAAAGTAAGAAACTAAACAGGACACCAACTTGTGAAGGAGCGTGAATTCGGCACATTTTGGGTAAATTTCACGTTATTGTTTTGTTTATGTGAATTCTATTTAATTGAAATAGCTACAACAATTTTAAACTATTTTGAACTGCTTTATAAATGACCACTTTTCAAAAACTTTAATGTAGGCGCTACACTATGGTGTACAATCACATTATTCTGCATGTTATCACCTTTTATCCTTCCAGGCCACATGTGTTAAATGAACTGTCAGATTTTATCCTTGCTAGCACGTGTTACTCTGTGTTATTACCTTGTTTTTCTGCATAGTAACATAATATTTTTGTGTTATCACCTAATATCATGCATAAAACATGAGCTATGACACTTT